ATGCAAGCTCGCACACAGCCCAAAAAACAAGACGGAAGAAAACGTCGAATTATTGGACGATCCTCCATATAGTCCCGATCTAAGTCCTAACGATTTCTTTACTTTCCTGAAAATTAAAAACAGACTGCGTGGTCAAAGGTTCCAGTCACCAGAAGAAGCAGTTGTCCCATTCAAAAATGCCGTTTTGGATCTGCCCGCAAACGAGTGGAATAAGTGCTTCGAAAATTGGTTCGAGCTCATGCAGATGTGTATTAATCTTCGTGGAGAATACTTCGAAAAACAATAAAGTCATTTAAAACTACCTACCGTGTTGTTTTATTTTTATATGCAAAACTTAAAAGACATCCCTCGTATTGCTCTTTTTCCACTTTCTAAAATCCGCGGACACCCCCGCTTCCACACGCGGTCAAAACAAAACTACGAGTTCGATTCGGCTGAAATTTTGACTGTAGCCATCTATGAGAATATACGACACGATAGTGAATTTCTCCTGCGATAGTGGCGCCATTGGGCGGTGAGGCTAAATACTTATCGGCACGCCCTCGTAAGTGTATGAAATTGGCGAGTACAGCAGTTATGAGCACGACTACATTCGTATATGGAACCAATTTCAGGGTGAAATGAAGTGAATATATTTCTAGTCATAAACTACCTTAGTTAATAAGGAACCCTAACAATGTTATTCGGAATCTCAAGAGATATTTGAGAAAGGAAAATGGGAAATCATCCATTCTAATGTTTCTCTCTTCTTTATGCAAGTTTTTATAAATAGCTTGTGATGTGAATTTTCAAAGCTATCTCGGCTCTTAACATGTTCATTCACCATGCATCATTGTATTTCTGGCTCAATAAAACTGGCAGTTTTTCTATCGACTGCATTAATATTCAACTTATTTATTACAAAAATTACACAATTCTTTTTCCATAATAAATATTCAATAATTGTAACAGACTTGCATCATCATTTTATTGAATCGCTTATGCGTAGAATACTGTAATTAGAGACGTGTAGTAAAAGGGAATATTTAGATTATAACTAATTAACGTTTTTCAAGAAAATGATATAATTTCAATTTTTATATTGTATTGTAGGCGCATGTATGCAAATCGTTTACAAGTGCAGGGAAATTGATAACAAAATGTACTGCAATGTACTGCTTAACACAGAAAGATAGTAGGAGTAATGAACAGGCTTTGGTAACTTTTGGAATAAATACGCCGATTTTGAATATGCAAAGAGAAAATAGGAATTTGGAAACGTAATCGTTGCACCGGAATTTGACTAGTAAATAAAAAGAATATGCTCAATATGACAGAGTTTATATATTTTCATATAGTGTGGTTCCACGATGTAAATTTTTCATTTTCTCCTCCGCAACTAGAAGTGATTAAAAAAATTCCTGGAAGAGACGCAAATCCCTAATATGGTGTTTTTGGGGACGTCTAAATTGCTGGTATGCAAACATTTTTGGAAATTCTCTACATTAGTGTATGATGCCCTTAAACATCATTTTTGTCCATCGTGGCTATCAGTGAACAGACCGTGATATACTGGAGTAATTAGGCAATTTCAAATATAGTCATCAAGAAAATCCTAAAGGATCGCGAAGCACCATTTGGAGTAGGAAATTTGGGTTCTTGCGGCTTACTGTCGATCTTAAGGATCGTTTTCATTACAACAAATATCTGCCGGAACGAGTACTGCAGCATGTGCCGCCATTTGTTAGAATTGGGCATGCCTTTGGCAAAAACCACACATTGGTTCCTGATCTATGCATCCGATTTATACTCGAAACAGATTTTGGTAACATTATAAGCTTCCACAATTCAAAATTTCTATTTGTACCTCCCATAGCTATAATTGAACTAAATCTGGTACACCGGAGTGATTTGGTACCCTGATTTCAAATATGGTCATAAAAATTGTAACATGCGGGGATACCCTATTTGATGTCGGAAAATTGTAGTCTTTAGGAGGCTCCTGCCTGTCTTATGCATGTGCGGTTTACTGTTCTTATGATACGACCACCAATTATAGTTATACGTAATTTACTTGGCTCTTGATCCTGCTGGCTTTCTGACGTTCATTTCCACTAGAATTTCTGGTTGGTTGCGTGTTTATCTCAAAAATAATAAGAATCTTCATATTTGATATGTATTTGTATATCGTAAGTGCTCGTTAGTTTTCTGCAAAGAGCATATTCTCCAGGATAACAGTTACACGTATAAAGTATTTTTCGGGTACTTATTACGAGTACACACCTGAGGTACCACAGTGCGAGGTGGGGGGTTCGGAGAAACAAAAAATTATGGGATGTGATATTATGTCCAACTTATTTGAAATCGGAAATGGGAAAAGTAAAGTAAAAAATATTTATACCTTCTTAGAAAACGTTTCGTGAAAAACACACTTATTTTCGTGAGTTTTTTCGGGAATTTACGAGTGGCTGGTTACAAATAACATTGAAAGCAATGTCATTCTACCTAAAAATCCCATTAAGTTACGTTTTCCGGCTTATCTGAAGAGAATTTAGACTGTTTAATATTTTTAACTTGTAGAGTGAAAACAGTGTTGTTGTTTGTTTCTTAAACAGCTTGAAAATAGCATACACGTGCTCTTCCGAAGAGAGCACGTAAACTTTTACTTTGCAGCGAAAAAAATGTTTTTCAGTATTTTTGAAATATCTTAACTCAAAAAAATATACGATAAAAACTAACATGCGTCTCACTAGGAAATCCCAAAGGCTCATTTTCCTGTTTTAAAAAGGCAAAGAACATTTCTTTCCATATATTTTGTAAACCATCTCAAATAAAATTTTTATGTATATTTCTCCATACGATACAAAATTACTATAAAAGCTCTAAAAAGGGGGGCGCTCAGGATTCCATTCCAACAAAATTGCTTTGCCAGAGATAAAAATGTATCGACTGCGGCGCGCAACATCTGGCATAATACGTGCCGCAACAAGTGCCGTAATTTCTATCCAGATTGGTGTCATATGTATACGATTTACCCACGAAACAGATTTGGGTCAAGATTGTAATGTACAAAAATTTTTGAATATTTTCTCCGCTCGACCAAAATCCGTGAGAGTTAAGTCCCCTGCAAGAATTATTCTACTGGTCATTCTTACTTATTTTGTAGTGGGTGAAATTTATTATGAAGATGACAACATGCCTGAAATTCATATTGGTATTTGAGAATTCTAGTACTTGCCTTCACATATCGATTGTGAAATACTGCCTGCCGTTAAAAACAACATTTTTTTTTGTGTTTGAACTATATCAAATTTTTTTTGAATGCCTGGCCTGTCGATCATTTGTCAATTCCTCCAAAGACTCGCAGGCCCTTATTGAATAAATGTGATACACAAACGGTCTTGCAGGCGTGATTTCGTTCAGTGCTAGCATCAATCTTTGTAATTTTTTCGTTCAGAAAAGATTACGAGGGTCAAAAATATTACCAGCTCAAGGGGGAATTTTCTGAATATTCTAAAAATAATAAATATGAAACTGATTCAACATTATTTAAATACAAATTAAGTGATTTGATGTGACTTATTGAAAAACATGTGAAAGTGGGTAGTGCATAACTATAGGCCCACTATTTGATTTCAGCAGAAATAAATAAAACACTTCCACATTAATAGTGCCCACCAATTTTTCTAAATAAGCCAAAACGTCTCGTGGGCATAGTTTTGACCAAACTGTTCGATGTTTCAGGCTTTCAGTTGGCTCAAACGTCCACCAATGCGTACTTCAGATTATTTATGGAGGCTTATGAGTTCGTGTCTACATAGACATCTACTTCTTAAGGGTTTTTGTCTGGTATAAACAAACGGCTAGTCCATTAATTTCTGAGACCCTTCTAAGAAGCAAAGCCCATTGAGATGGCGGTAGGAGAGAGCTGTGAAGGGTCCCGAGACTGTCTGTTAGAAAAAAGTCATCGATAAGCTGGCCATCCCTCTTCTGAACAGCATCGAGCATGGTTAATGTAGTTGGGCAGGCAGCACCCCAAACATTAGAGCGGTAATCGACGCTACGTATTATCTGGACGTTGTACAGAGTGAGGAGGTTATGTAGAGAAAAGTACTTCCTAATTCTAAACAAAAAGCCCAAGCTTGTCCCAGCAGCTGCCGCTATTGACGAGATCAAGTCGAAATGAATGTCTCTTTGATAGAACTCGGCCATCTATCGAAAGCGGATGAGCGCTAGGGCGCTTCTTGTGAGTCAAGGTACTGTACTGCATTTTGGAAGCATTAACCTATGCAAGAGTGATGTCCCCAGGAAGTGATAACCTCAAGGTCTCTCGTCAGACAGCAAGTCTTCTTTTCTCCAGCGGCAGAGGTCGGTTTGTCACTTTGAATTTTTGCACGTAGTCTTGTCATTAGCAAAGATGTCGATCGGATTGATCGTAAGGAAAGAAGGTACTTGACATGTAAGCGAAACAATGTCGGAACTAAGGACGATATTGAATATCTTTCAAATTCTGCGTTTTTGTAAAAGTTCTTCCAAATCTATGTTTTCCTTATTGCGGAAAATACTTCTTTTTCAGAAATAGTCATCGGTTTTTATAGAGGGAGAGGATGATTAAATATAAATACGCTCAGTGTTAACACCTTTCAATTTTTTGCGTATTTTAGTTTGCATGCAATTAACTGACGCAACATATAAAAAGAGTATGTCGCTTTGAAAATGAGGTAAGCGCATTTTATATAGATGTGCATATGCTATCATGACAGATGTCAATTTGAGAGTTTCAAGAAAATAATTTAAAACGTAAGTAGTATTTTTCTTTTCTTTGCTTGACCTTATGGACATTTTCTAGCACATTCATTATATTTGTGGAAGTTGTTCGGTTGCAGACATATTCATTTCTGAATAACAAACGTGACAAAAAACATAATCATTTTGATATCGTCTGACTAGTAATTTATGCCTCTATAATATGTATGAATCTAAAAATTTTGATCGCTAGGTATATCAAAAACTGAAAAGCTATGCAGCTTTTGGAAATTGCGTCTAATTTTCTTAGTGCATGCTCAAAGAGGCTTAATGTTCGGCTTCTGACCCTAGTAACCTTATCCCTGTTAGCCACATTTCACACATATTGTCTTTACATTTTCATCTTTGATGTACAGGAATATGATATAGTAATCATATCAAGACTAATTCTAGAATCCAGTTAGACTCAAGCTGTCACTATACATGAAAGGAGCAGAATTAATGTATTTGTCTCAAAATTAGCTTTGATGGTTTTTTTTTTTTTGGCTTTAGGACCAGGCCATGCAGCCAGAAACTAGGTTGAATATATATATTTCTCTAATTATGAACAATCACACGACGTCACAACATCCATGGCGAAGGCAAGATTCGAACTCGCGGCCCGGCCGGCCGGCTGATCAGTAGCACGACACTCTGACCAACGCGGCCAACCGAGGCCCCCTTTGATGGTTATTAGACCAGCAATTACTTATGCATGTGCAGCATGGTGGTTCCCCGCCAAAACGCAAATTCGTAGTCTGCAGGTTCTGCAGAACAGATCCTTGCATACTGTCACTAACGAACCATGATATGTCTCCAACGAGAGCTTTCACAGAGATCTCGACATTTCATACCTAACGGACTACATCAAACAACAGGGGTAGTTACGTTATAGTCAACCGAAATCGCACAGCAACCCTCTGTTGCTTGAGTCAGTAGAGTACACAGTCAAGCAAGTTCGCAAGCACACAAGACCGCGGTTCGCACTATGAACAAAATAAACTGAATTCCTTCCTTCTTCCATTCTTTCTCCCTCACTTTGTCGGGAAACCAGGCCTGACAGACCTACTGACCTACAATACTTTAACCAAAAGCAAATGTCCCACGGACAATATCGAATTCTGTTTGTTCTATTTTCCAAAATCGTGATCCATTTCAGAATAAAGTTGTACAGAGTGTATTTACTGAAGGGTAAAGTTGGGTAAATTGTATCATTTAGCATATTTGTTAATGGCTCCTTTGAATCGAATGAAAATTGAAATTAAAGTAAGCTAACATGTTTTTATCAAAATGCACCACGCTGTTTGTGCATCACCAAAAAGCATGAGGTGTTCATTGTCGATCAAACGATTACAGATACCATAAATTAGGACATACATAGTTGATATAAAACATTACCCTAATGGATTAGATAAGATATCACTATAAATCGAAAGGTTTCATTTTTAGAACTTAAACATAAGAATCACCGATTTGGAGCATATTGGTAAAGCAAAAACGTTATCATAACAAATAACTGACAATATTTGTTCAATTCAAGCACAAAAATCAACTGTATGCATGTATGCAATGTTTGCATATGACCATATCCCCTCTAATATATTCAGGTATCATTTAACAGACCAAACGGTGGTACAAATTGCAGAACCGGTTTGATTAACAAATTTGTTTTATTTCTTATAAAAGCATGGTTACGTAAAATTTTACCTCCCAAAGCTAATCAATAATTACGAAAAATGTCACCTCAACTAGTAAAAAGTAATTATTTGGACATGAAAGTTTATCTAAGGTTGCAGTTAGAAATCTATAGTTGAGGAAATATTGAGGTGGTACAGTTTAAAAATCGGTACAATATACCCAACTTTCCCCTACACGTCAAGCCATAGATGATCTCCAAAGTCTGGTGGCACCCATAACCAGCGTTTCAGACAAAGTGGAACGTGTATAGCTGAAAAACTTTAAGCAGTGTCAACTTAAACTGGTCGGCTAGTACTTTTGATGCAAACGGTTCAAAGTTAATCCTAGCAGTGATGAGAATTGAAGACAATCTCTAGAGCCATTAGGATGATGTCCACCATTTCAGTTGAATCATCGTATTTTGAAATTATTAGCTTTTGGAGGTGGATAGCGCCAGAACTAACGGTAACATAAAATGCAATTGAATTAGTTATACAAAAACATTTGAAATTTTAGTTACTTTTTTGGGCTTAATGTAGTATTCGAGTCTATAGGATTGAAATTTCGAAAAACCTTCACAGTTTACTAGTAATAACAATGGTACAGCCCGAAAAAATGTTCTGGGCTCATGTCGTTTTAGTAGGAAATATGATTAGTGGTATATAACTCAAGCAAAATAACCATATAATAATATTTAAGATTGCTTATTATTGAAAATACATTTAAATATTGACCCATCAACATGCCACATTTTTCACTTTTCCTTCTTTCAATATTTTTAAGGTACATATGGACAAAGCGAACACCTGCGAAAGTCGAATTTCCCGTTTTACATCCAAACCATGAGTCGACCATCGTGACAAAATACATAGACTTATTCGTTCAACTTTCTTCAATAATAGACTATCGGTTGTAGAAGAATCCTCTAGCTTATGTGACTGCCGGGCATCAAAATATATTTTATTTAACAAAAAACTGTGAATGTGATCTAATCAATATGAACATCTATTTAAAATATATGGAGTATATTTAAAAACCTTCTCTGTCATACAAATGAGGAGAACTTAATTAATGGTTTTGGTAGGACACAATAGCACTATTGAAGAAATGATTTCTGGTAACGCGGATAACGCCTGTAACCTTATTTTTGTAGTGTGTGAATTTAAAATTGATAAACTGGTGTAAATAACACATAAATATGAAAATAAAACGATACAGCGATACATTTACTGTATTTGAAGTGATATCTGACCCGTTATCCCGTTTACTACTGCGCTGTTTCTCTTATTAAATGCTGTGTTTGATTTAAGTTTGCCGTCAAGCAAAATCAAATATTTGTCGAATATTACTGTTTATTGAAGCAAAAACAAATTCTTGACCGTTTATGTACTTACGGTCATTACTTTAATTGGCATGGACTATAATTTTCTTATATTATTAAATAGTTAATTTAGCATGAAAACATATATACTTTACCTAATAAAACATGGACTGGACATACAGGGTGTTCGTTTGAAAACTTCTCAGCACGGATTTATCGAAAACTACTAATTAAAAGAAAACACGCCGAGACACGTCAAAAAACTTCTCAAGGGGGACAACTTTTTAACCAAAAACTACCTCATCCCCTTTCAACCTCCCCCCTCTTAGGGTCATTCCCTAAAATGTTAAATGACAACGGGTATCGAGTAAAGGCTTGTTGGAAAGGTCTGTAGAAGTCCTTTATTTTGACGTTTAATTTTTTAAAATCAGTCAATTCGTGTTCAAGAAAATTAGAAAAATCTATATTTATCTTAGTTTGTTCAGATAGAAAACAAAAGCACCCGAAAAAATTACTTTTTATTTCAATAAATATTCAAAATATTGCCCGTTATTAGCCAAACATTTCAAATAGCCCCATAGAAAAAAGTCTAACTGCGTCAAATCAGGAAATCTAGCAGGCCATTCTTATAGCACTTATTGGAATAAAAAGTGATATTTTCGAGTGTTTCTGTTTTCTGTCTGAACAAATTAACATAAATAAAGATTTTTCTAATTTTCTCGAAAACGAATCGACTGATTTTAAAAAATCAATCTTCAAAATAAAGGTATTCGAAATACCTTTCAAACAAGCTATTACTCGATACCTCTTGTCATTTAAAATTCATAAGGGAATGACCCTGGGGGGCCGAGGGTCAAAGGGGGTGAAGTAGTTTTTGGTTAAAAAGTTGACCCCCTTGACAAATCTTTTTGTCTCGGCGTTGTATGTATTTGTTACTGTTCATGTTTCATGTAAAATTGTAAATCGCAAATTACGAAGCCATGAAAATTTGTTTTGCATAATTTAATAGGGTATTCATCGCTATTGTATAGATTATTGGAACTTTCTGGGAATCAGATATAACAATGTTATTTCAAAAACAGATGTTGCTAGTGCTGCTGAACGTGTAGTTAGGGGTGCGCAATTCTATTTTTTAAAAACTAAGAAGAAAACGAAAAGATTTACGTATCCTATCTAAAGCTAACCATACACCACTGTATTCCGGCGGTGAAAAAAGATTTATGAAAGAGTCCAGCGACATCTATGAGACAGAAGCAGGACACAAACATGAATTTAGGAATGGATCACAACTAAAATTCCACGACCTAGCTTGGCGGGTCGTATTTCAGATCGAGCTCACAATTTTCTCCTGGAAAATATCTATGGAGACATGATGATTTGTGAAATTTCAGGGTTTTAGGTGGAACAGACACGCTCAAAGTTTGAAAGTGCGGCAAAAATGTGAATTTTAACGTTTTGGCAACTTTTCTCGCTACTCCTGTCCCTAATATCCCATAATATATGACTATTCCGTAATAAAATTATTCATGGAAGTCAATATTAACCTCCAAAGTCCGATAGGATAGTTCGTTCAGCAGATATTTCAGTCATTAGCAGATTAATCTATTACGTAAAGGGGATGGACCAGCCTAACTCCTATGGCCACCTTTGAACTGGTCGGATAGGCGTTTGGATGCAGGTTTTGATATTTTGGACAAAATATTGCCATTTCCACGATACCGGAGCGCAGATCATGACATATCGGGCTCAAATTTCAAATTCCTAGGTTGAAAAATTCACTCTGGAGATGCGACCGAAGTTGCAAGGCTCAGAAAAAAATTTAATTTTAGCCTTTCTGACAACATCTCCATTTTCTCGCTACTTGTGTCATTGGAAAGCATTATGCTCCGCCAAATGGAAATATTCCAAAGTAGCATTGTCCGGAAAATTGGAAAAGACTTTCAAATTGCGATCTGATACCGATACCGTTCAACAGATACTTCAGTCAAAAGTATTTTTTTTCTAAGTTTTCGATTGTTTTCTTGGGCTGCCAATTCGAATGCCTTTCTAAGCAAAAAATCTACAATATTATTTTTTCTCGAAAACAGTATGGATTAACATATTGCTATATTAAACGGGTGAAATAGATATTTAGTTCCAATTATCGATATTTTTGCCTAACATTTACTATTTTGATGATTGAGTTAATCAAAGGTGTTAGCTATGTTACAAATGCATCAACACATTGCTTAGTGTTAATCGACTACCGCAGCGTTAAAGAGATATTTGCAAGAAAACCAATAGTTCAGTATACAGTGTGACCAAGATGAGGAACGGGATTTCAAAAATATTTAGAGTTACAATGATGGTTAGATTAGGAAAAAGTTGCGTAATACAGGGTGCGGCAGAGAGGACGGACGTTTTTGGGATGGATAGTACTCTCTGCATCCTTCTACGAGGGAGGTGGGGAGGGTGCCGTTTGACTCGTGAGATCCTAGCATTATTTTACCAGTTGTCGTTATGGAGCCTTGGACGGTGGAGCACCGCGTTTTCGCCTATGATTGTTTCTTCCGAAATAATGAGTCAGTCATCGTCGTACAGCGTGAGTTTCGTCGCCAA